GGGACCAGAGGGGAGGACAGCAGAGGCAAGAGCAGGCAGAGGAAAGAACTGGAGAGAGGCCAGAGGAAAGGCAGGTCCCAGCCGAGAGCTCGTTACTAGTAAGAGCCCCCTTAGTAATTAGCTCGGAACGCTCCGAGCTCTCACGTTGGGGATCGCACGGATTGAGAAGCCGACCGGCTTTGCTGCTCGCGAAGGATCCGCAAGCAGCACAAACACGGACAGGCACACCAGTTTCCACCACAAGCCCAATGCAACTTGTACCGAGCCCCCCCCTCCCCCCCGAAGGAGAGACGCCAACGTGAGATTGGGGTTAGAGCACTCGGTGGTGGTGTTAGACGTGACCACCCTAAGACGACGCCTGCACCTCAGACTGCCACCATTAGTGGTTGTGTTGTCGGGCGAATCGAGCCTTGATGCTCTGACCCTGGGTGTTTGTTTCACGTGTGTGAACTGCTGATCAAGCTGAGGCCATACCAGGAGCATCGAAGTCAAGCCACTAGCAAGGAAGCTCTACTCAGCCTCACTCTGCTCAACATCTTCCGACTCCTGGAGGCTTAGATCGTGCACTAGCGACCCTGTCTTGGCCTGGGTATCAACTACTGCTGACCCTTCTAACAGACACCGATCAGAGTCGTCAAGAGCACTAATCATGCTCCTATGAGCTTTAACCTCAAGGCGGGGCCAGGCGGGGTTGGGAAGCGCAGATATTTTCCGAGCCACCTCGCGCCAAAAGAGCCTGTCCATCTAGAAGCTTGATCGGATTTCGAATTCCACCAAAAATTCAGCATAGCCGACTGCAACAGGTTCGCACTCTCCTGACGAGTTGTCCCTCGTAAGTGCACTGACTGCCAGTGCCGCCTGCTCGGCATCTGCTGCCTGCTGCTGGAACTCGCTTGACAGCGGTGCCAACGCACCTCTCTGGGGAACCCCGCCTTCCATGTGGACAACAGCAACGCCAGCCCTCGTAATCTCGACTCTGTCTCCATGGACGCAGGGCCCATCAGTAAACAGTTTGTCAGACGACTGAACCAAAAACAACGGTGGGCAAAGGACCCCGTTCACGTCCAAGAAAACTTTAGCTTTCAGTCTTGCACAGGACTAGGGACACCCAGCCAGCGGGCCCAACGTTTCGAAACAAAGAGAGCAAGTCGGGCCCGTCGCCAGATCCTGGTCGATCACCTCCTGGCTGAAGTGCTCATGACGGGTCCTAATCACATTGGGATCAGCACACGTCCAGCAGCGATGCCACGCCGTGCCCAGCTGACCACATTGGGCGCAGATGCCTGAGATATCATACTCCCATTGCTTCATGGAGGCTCCTGTCGGGACTGTCCCTGAAATCATTTGGCAAAACGCATGCAGTCGTTGCAGGATCAGGCCTTTGGCTAGCCTCTGGACCGCTGGCAAACACAAACATTGAGCCTGAATTTCTCGGTCCCCTAAGTGGTGCGACATGTGTTTGACCAACAACTGTCTCAGCAACACTTTCCTGAAACCAGCTGTGAACGCATTAGGCACCTCGGACGGTGGTCATTCAGATCTTAAAACCAGATCTACTTACAAACGTGGCAGGCCCTTACCATTGCCAGCCGCCGACTTCAGCCACAACAGGCGGCCCTATTTGGGCCCGCTGGTCCGATACAACCACTGCTTCCGCTTGGTGGTCTCGAGGACCGCAACAGCATTAGTGCAACTCCTACTGAATTCACCTGGAGTCAGGGCGTGGGATTGACGAGGTCGTCCGAAACTCGAAGGTTCATTGACTTGCCACCATTCCCATGTATATCTTTCGAGGGCTGCTAAGTACAACGGCCCCCCCTCGTTGTTGGCGCCAGCCCACAGAAGGTCCACACTCAACCTTTTCTGCTGACCCCGAAGCTTTGCTGCTTTGCTTGCAGCTCGCCGAGCATGTAGTATTTGCGATGGTATGCTTCTCTGAACTTCCATCCCATAAGAGACCGTAGAGAGCACACCTGCCTCGAAGAGCCTAGCTTTGATCCTCTTGGAGACCTTCGACGTGCCGAGCCTAGCAGGCCTATGGGAGAACGAACTGTTTGATCCTCTTTACTGGCCCCGGCAACGGGAGCCAGACGATGACGCCCAGCCGTAAACGGTACACCTAGGAATTACCCGGGGCCCACGCGCACCATTCTCCCAGAGGCCCCAGAGCTTCCCTTGACCTTGTTCACGAGAGGGCTCGACTTGGGCTCCCGCGCGCATCTTCCCTTCAACAATCGGGGCCTGCAAGTTACTTGAACTGTGACCCGCGGGCGTCGTGGCCAGCGCCCTCAGATTCGCAGCACACGTCTTTGGGGGATCACATACGCCAATCATGAAGCGAACGCTCACAAACGTGAAGCCCTGGTCCCGTTTCGGGATTGCCTCGACCTGGATATATGAAAGAGCGTGTTCTACCGCTGCTGGCGGAAAACCGGGGGGGGTCACTACCGGTTCGAACCCCTCTCCCCCCCCCCCTCCGGAAAACCGGGGGGGGGTCACTACCGGTTCGAACCCCTCCCCCCCCCCCCCCAGCTCATCATGAAAAGGGGGGGGGTCACTACCGGTTCGAACCCCCCCCCCCCCCCCCTCGAAAACCGGGGGGGGTCACTACCGGTTCGAACCCCCCCCCCCTCGAAAACCGAGTGGGGGTGCGGACAGTGGTGGGGACGGTGTTGGTGGGGACAGTGGTGAGGGGATAGCGGGACAGTGGTGGGGACAGTGGGACAGTGGGACAGTGGTGGGGACGGTAGTGGTGGGGACAGTGGTGGGGACAATGGTGGGAACAGGGGGGGACAGTGGACAGTGGTGGTGACGGTGGTGGTGGGGACAGTGGTGTGGGGACAATGGGAATGAGGTGGAAACAGTGGGACAGTGGAGGGTACAATGGTGGTGGGGACAGTGGTGAAGGCGGTGGCGAGGACGGCGGTGGGACAATGGGACAGAGGTACAGTGGGGACAGTGGTGGGGACAGTGGGGACAGTGGTGGGAACAGTGGGACAGCTCAGTGGGACAGCGGAGGAGTCAGTGGGACAGTGGGGACAGTGGGGATAGTCGGGCAGTGGTTGGGGCCGTGGAGACAGTGGGGAGAGTGGAACCGTGGTGGGAACAGTTCTGGGGACAGCGGGGACAGTGCGACAGTGGTGGGGCCACTGGTGGGGACAGTAGGGGCGGTGGTGGAACCAGTGGGGACAGCGGTGGTGAGGACAGTGGTGCTGGGAACACCAGTGGGGGATGTGATGCGGACGGTGGTGGGGACCGGGAGTCGTTTGCTGGCGGTGAGTAGGGGGGGGGGGGAGGGTGGGGGGGGGGGGGTTTCGAACCGGTAGTGACCCCCTCCAGGTTTTCCGGATCCGAAGGGTAGGGGGGGGGGGGGGGGGTTCGAACCGGTAGTGACCCTCCCCGGTTTTCCAGATCCGGAGGGGGGGGGGGGGGGAGGGGTTCGAACCGGTAGTGACCCCCCCCGGTTTTCGCGATTCCTGACGACGGCGTCATCGGGAGATGATATGCGCCGTCGAGGTATAGTAGTCGCTCACACCTGTAAGTGGACATCGTTGACATAGGAGTATGGGTAGACAAGTCATATATAAGCTTTTGCTGATCGAGCTATTGGTGGCCGACATGCTTATAGAACTGAGCAGATCCTAAAATGTCGTAGCATAGGACATCTCAGACTGGTCCGCCCCAGACCTGCAAGGAGCCCGGTGAGTCTTCCCATGGGGCCTCGCATACCCATCAAAGTGACCTATGGGGCGCTTGCCTTTGTCGGGTCTACGCAATCAGAAAACAGTCAGTTATTGAAGCTGAGGTGGTGCTTGTCCTGCAACGTCCATGGTACAGGAATGAAACCACTTCCAGGAACCCCGAAGGCAACAAAGAAATGCCGAGGGCGAACGCCGTTCGGGGTGCAGGTCAACTTGGCAAAGCGAGAGCTGATGTGTCTCAGGCGCTCTGCTGGCACAGGATCACGGACAGATGTTCTGACGGTTGGCAGCTGCAAAAAAGCTTGCACACCCCCAACATGCCATGCGTGACCACAGACCTTGACTTGTTCAGCAAGTCGAGCAGGAAGTGCGCTAGAGAAACTGCCTGGCACTACATTGATCTCTTCGTGAACAGGTTCACATGCTCGCGTATATGAAAACACCTGCCTACCTGCATTGCTTGCGTTTCTCCAGACCAGACCTAACAGGATTTTCGAGCACGATTCTGATCTCCGCGACGAGCAGTTCTCACAAAGTCTCCAGACAACTCAGTACGTTTGTCCACGATCTCCAGGGCAACCTCCTTGGCCCCCTGGCTGAGTTTTCTTCCTCTCCTTCCTCCTCCTGTTTTTTTGACCGCAGGTCGCATTTCACGAATCTGTAGAGTCAGCAGGCGAACATAGAACGCGTGACGCGATAGATGAGGCCGAGAGACTAATACAGACGTACAACATGTATTTAATACCAGACCTCGTCCCCTTCCTCTCCCCCTCTTCCTTTTGCTCCTCTCCCTCCCCTCCTAGCGTTTGCGTTCTTGCTTTCTCGCATGACGGTGTCGGGCCGAAGCTTGCTCATTTCAGTATGACATGGGTGTGTGAATGCGAAGTGCACACATGCGCCACAAATCACCTCCAAGCCTACGCCTACCGACATCCCTGGAACAGTCATGGCAGCACAATAATGTATCATGCGGATGCAGTGGTATGTAAAGACCCTAGGCCTCGGGTGAAATTTCATGGGGGCACTCACCGTCTGAGACTCAGGGGCCAACATCACGCCACAAGCACTCGGCAAGCAACTTGCAACGCAACGGTAGGTAGAGGGCAGAAGTTTTGAACCCCCACCCCTCCTCCTTCTCCTCCTCCTCCTGTTCCTCCTCCTCCTCCTCCTCCTCCTCCTCTTCCTCCTCCTCCTCCCAGTTCCTCCTCCCCCCTCCTGCTCCTCCTCCCCCTCCCCTTTCTGCTCCTCAGGCTCTCTCTCTCTCCATCCTGCCGCCGCCGCCGTCGTCGTCATCGCCGCCGACGTCAACGCTGCCTTCTCCGCCGCCGCCGCCGCCGCCGCTGTGGCCGCCCTCGCGGCCGTGGCCGCTGCTGCGCCCCGCGTTCCCCCGCAGGCGGGGCGGCCAGCCCGTGAGCTTCGCGGAGGCGCTGCAGGCACGGGAGCGAGGCGAGCATTGGAGGTTGGATGAGGAGGAGGAGGAAGAGGAGGAGGACGAGGTGGAGGGGCAGGGGGAGGAGGACAAGCTGGGTGCGCTCGCGTCATATCTGATATCCTATCCCTCCCTCCCATCCCTTACCATGGCGCAGATCCCCTCTCTACTCGCACAGTCGGATGTCGAGCAGGGCAATGATCCCGAAAGGGTACGCGATGCATTGTAGAGCACGGCATGGCATGGCGTAGAAGAGCACCGCGAAGCGTAGCATCAACCTAGCATTGCATCGCATGCTGTGGCATGGCACGGGAAATGACGCCAGCGCTGCAGCGAGAGCACGAGTCGGAACAAGCGGAAGCGCGGAAATGAGGCCAGCGCTGCAGCGGGAGCACGATTCGGAACGAGCGGAAGCACGCCGGAATCGGCCCGGGAGGCTTCCCGGGTGCCGGAAGCAGAAATTCAGCATTTTTAAAAGAGAAATGTGTATTGGAATGGCCTTTTTTCGGCGCCGCCTGGGAACTCGCCGGCCGGAACCGGCTCCAGACCTGGCCCGGGCGCCGGCCCGGGCGCTGGCTCGGGCGTCCGGCCCGGGCGCCGGCTCGGGCGCCGGCCCGGGCGTCGGAATCGGCCCGGGAGGCCTCCCGGGCGCCGGAGGCAGAAATTCAGCATTTTCAAAAGAAAAATGTATATTAGAATGGCCTTTTTTCGGCGCCGCCTCGGAACTCGATTTTCCGGCGGCGGCCGGAACCGGCTCCGGACCCGGCCCGAGCGCCGGCCCGGGCGAGCGGAAGCACGGAAATGAGGCCAGCGCTGCAGCGGGAGCACGATTCGGAACGAGCGGGGCCCGAAAATGAGGCCGGCGCCTCAGCGAGAGCAGCATTTTGAAAAATAATGCAGGCGAAAACCCAACTCTGGGGAAACCTGTGTGTAAAAAACAGTACGCATGGGGGGGTCGGATACTTTCAAGTCGTCATCAGGGGAAGAGGGAGAGTAGTATTCATATTGGAGGAGGGGGAGGAGGAGGATGAAGAGTAGAAGGAGGAGGGGGGGGAGGGGGAGGGGGGCAGGAGCAGGAGGAGGAGGACCAGTGCAAACCCAAGACTCATCAACGATATTGCAAAACACCCTCCCTCCAAGTTCTCTCTTCATATAGGGCCCGACAAGGGTTCTTTTTCGTTGAGGGAAGTGGTCCGTTGGAAGACAGCCGTTGGAAACTCTGGAAGTGTGCCAGAACAGCATTCCTGGGATTTAGACGCCGCGCATCACCGTTCATGCTGCATCTTGTCGATACTGAGTCGCGCCAGATCACCATTCCTGGGACCTGAACACCGCGAAACAGTTTGACTGTTTCGTCCTGACTCCATGACATCATGCCCAAACGCCGCTTCTGGGACGTTGACCATGAGAATCCTTGACTCTGGTGCAGAGTCTTAAGACGAAGTTGCGCGGCGCTCAGGCGAGAGCCACATCTTCAAACGGAACGGCCCTCCGTCCGTGGAACTCGTGCTTTTTCTCATCACCGCTGCGCGCGACGCCGAGGCGAGAGCGACATCTTGAGACCGGACCGCCCTCCGTTTCCAGTTGGGAATGGGTCGGTTTGGGCCTCTTGGGGCTCTCCTGGAGGCCCTCCTGGGCCGGCTTGGGAGCCTCCTGGCCTGCCTCGGGGGCCTCTGGGGCTGTCGTGGGGCTCCTAGGGGTGCTCTGAGGCCGTCTTGCCGCCCCCTTGGCAATCCTGCAAAACGAAAGTGCGCGGCGCTGAGGCGAGAGCCACATGCTGAAAGACAGCCTCCCTCCATCCGCGAAGCTGTTGCAAGTCTTAAGCTTCGGCATCGTAGCTGGTGAGGGAGTCTCAGGCGCAACGCCCCCCTTTCGACCGGCCTCGGGGTGTGACAGGGAGGAGTCATTCATCATAAGGTAGAGGGATAGAGGAGGATGAGGAGGAGGAGGAGGAGGAGGAGGACCAGTATATACCCAACACGCATCAACGATACTGCAATAAACCCTCTCACAAAGTTCCTTCTTCACAGGCTCCTACAGGGTTTCATCTTATCTGGGGGAATCTGGGAGAAATGCCCCGTTGGAAGGCAACCGTTTGAAAATCCGGATTTGTGCCAGAGCGCCATTCTTGGGACTTAGAGTCGCGTGCCAGAATACCTTTCCTGGGCCTTCAACACCGCGAATCAACTAATTGTTGCGCCCTGACATTCCGACATCGTGCCCAAACAGCATCTCTGGAACGTTAACCATGAGAATCCTGGACATTCTTGCGAACTTTAGGCGAATGCGCGCGGCGCTAAGGCAAGAGCCACATTATGAACCGGACCGCCCTCCATCCGTGAAACTCCTGGGCAATTTTTAAAAGCGAATCTGCGCGGCGCTGAGGCGAGAGCCACATTTTGAAAACGGACCGCCCTCAATTAATGAATCTCTTGCAACTTCTTAAGACGATTGTGATCGACACCAAGGCGAGAGCCACATTGGCCGCCCTCCATCTGCGAAGCTGTTGCAGGTTTCAAGCTTCACGGTCGTAAAGTTTTAGGACGTCTCTCAAGCGAAACGCCCGGCCCGTCCTTTCGACCAGCCTGGGGGTGGGACAGGGAGGAGTTATCTATAGGGAAAGGAATGAAGCAGGAGGAGGAGGATTAGGAGGAGGAGGAGGAGGACGGAAAGGCAGGAGGGGGAGGATGATGCGAAAAGAGAGGATGAGAAGGACCAGTGTAACCCAAGACTCATCAACGATACTGCCATGACCCTCCCTCCAAATTCCAACAGCATAGGCCCCTACAAGGATTCACTTTCAGTGAGGGAAGTGGTTCGTTGGAAGAAAGCTGGTCGAAAACAAGGAAATGTGCCAGAACTTCAGTCCTGAGACTTAGAAGCCGCGAATTACCGTTACTGTTGCGTCTTGTCGATCCTGAATCGTGCCAGAGCACCATGCCTGGTATCTGAACACCGCGAGTCAGTGTGAACTGTTGCGTCTTGACTCCTTAACATCGTCCCCATACGCCGTTACTGGGACGTTAGCCATGAGAATCCTTGACTCTGCTGCAGAATCTTGAGACGAATATGCACGGCGCTGAGGCGAGAGCCACATTTTGAAAAGGAACCGCTCTCCATCCGTGAAGCTCATGTCGACCTTCGACGATTTTGCGCCGCGCTAAGGCGAGAGCCACAATTTGAAAACGGACCGACCTCCATCCATGAAGCTCTGGCAACTTTTGAAATCGCTGCGCTAAGGCGAGAGCCACATTTTGAAAACCACCCGCCCTCCATCCGTGAAATTCCTGCAAACTTTAAGAACGTGCGCGGGTCCAAGGCGAGAGCCACATTTTGAAACCGGACCACCCTCCGTCCGTGAATCTCCTTGACAAGTTTTTCAAGCGAATCTGCGCGCCGCTGAGGCGAGAGCCACATTTTGAAGACGGACCGCTCTCCATCCGTGAAACTGTTGCCATGTGTTAAGTTTCAGAATCGCAAATTGCGAGGAAGTCTCAGACGAAACGCCCGACCCGCCCTTTCGACCGGCCTGAGGGTGCGACAGGGAGGAGGAGCTATTCATCACGAAGAGGGAAGGAGGAAGAAGAGGAGGAGGATGGGGAGGAGGAAGAGCAGGAGAAGGAGTAATAGGAAGATGAAGAGGAGGAGGTGGAGGAGGAGGTGGAGGAGGAGGAGGAGGAGGAGGGGGAGGAGGAGGAAGAGGAAGAGAAGGAGGAGGAGGAGGAGGAGGAGGAGGAGGGGGAATGGAGGAGGAATTTGATTATGGGAAAGGAAAGAGGAGGGAGGGAGGGAGGGAGGGAGGGAGGGAAGGAGGGAGGGAGGCGGGAGGGAGGGAGGGAGGGAGGGAGGGAGGAGGAGGAGGAGGAGGAGGAGGAAGAGGAGGAGGAGGGGGCGGAGGGGGCGGAGGGGGATGAGTAGGAGGAGACCAGTGTAAACCCAAGACTCATCAACGATGTTGGGATACACCCTCCCTTCAAGCTCCCTCTTCACAAGCCCTATACAAGTGTTCATTTTCACTGAGGGAATCGCCTCGTTGGGAGATAACCGTTCTAAGACCCTGAAGCGCGCCAAGACACCATTCCAACGAGCCGCCGTCAATCCGTGAAACCCTTGCTTCTTTTGGACGAGTGTGCGCGGTGCTGAGGCGAGGGCAACATTTTGAAAACGAGCCGCCCTCACTCCGCGAATATCTGGCATTGTTTGAAATTCATGTGCGCGGTGCTAAGGCGAGAGCCACATTTTGAAAACGAATCGCCCTCAATCCGTGAAACTCTTGAAAATGCTTAAAACTAATATGCATGGGGCTAAGGCGAGAGTCACATTCTGAAAACGAGCCGCCCTCCATGTGTGAAACTAATGCCATTTTCAAGCTTCAGGGTCCTCAATGGTGAGGAAGTCTCAAGCGAAACGCCCAGCCCGCCCTTTCGACCGGCCTCGGGGTGAGACAGGGAGGAGTTACTGAGAAGGATCAAGAGGAGGAGGAGGAGGAGGAGGAGGAGGAGGAGGAGGAGGAGAGGAGGAGGAGGAGGAGGAGGAGGAGGAGGAGGAGGAGGAGGAGGAGGAGGAGGAGAGGAGGAGAGAGCAGGAGGAGCAGGAGGAGCAGGAGGAGCAGGAGGAGCAGGAGGAGCAGGAGGGGCAGGAGGAGCAGGAGGAGCAGGAGGAGCAGGAGGAGCAGGAGCAGGAGGAGCAGGAGGAGGAGGAGGAGGAGGAGGAGGAGGAGGAGGAGGAGGAGGAGGAGGAGGCTGCCCCGTAGCTATTTTGACCCAAGCCATCGCGCCATTCTCGAACCCGCCGACGCTGGGCTGCGCACCGCGCGGGCTCGCCGCGGGTGTCCGGAACCGATGGCGATGCAGCAGCGCCAGCTGCGCAACTTCTGGCCGCTGCCCGCGGGGCGGCGCTTGCGGCGCACTTGGCTGCGGGCCTGGCGCGGGGCGCGGGGCGCGGCGGCGGCATGCCGCCGGCTTCGCTCTGCCGAGGTCCTCTGCCGCGCGGCGGTGGCGGAGCGCGAGGCCGCGCGGCCTTGCCCGCATGCCGCCATGGCTGGCGGCGACCTCGCGGTGCCGCCTGCCGCGACCGCGGCGGCCGTGCCGCCGGATGGCGCGGGCCCCGCACCTCGGCGGAGACGCCGCGAACGTGCGCGGCAGGGCAGTGCAGGGGCCGCAGAGGCGCCTGCGGTGGCGGTGGAGGAGGAGGAGGTGGCGGAGAACGGGTGCGCGGAGCTCGCCGACGGCAGCTTGGCGGACGCCGCGCCGGTGGTTGCTTTGGTGGCCCCACTTGCTGGCTCGGACGGACGGAAAGAGGGAATGAAGGAAGGAAGCAAGGTATCAAGGATGAGAACGGGGAAGGAGGATGAGGAGGAGGATGAGGTGGGAGGCGGAGGAGAGGTAGGAGGAGGAGGCGGAGCAGGAGGCGAGAGAGGAGGAGGAGGAGGAGGAGGGCCGAGCTTTTTGTATAAGCGTTTGGACCTATGCTCGATCTTGTTTGGCCTCTGGAGATTCGGGGTGGGATGGGGATGAGGAGGGAGGGTGGTATGGATGACAGGAGGAGGAGGAGGAGGAAGAGGAGGAAGAGGAGGAGGAGGAGAGCCAGAGTAAGCCCAAGGTATATCAACGATGCTGCAGTACACCATCCCGTCCCAGGTCTCTTCTCCATGGGTCCCCGCAAACACTCTTTTTCACTGCCCATGGGCCCGCAATTCAGACAGGAGCTCCGTTTGAAAGAGAGGAAACGACAAGGTGGATTGTCAAGTTCAATGAAGTGCCCAGTGACAGCCCCGCTTTGCAAAAGAACAGCTGGGGGGATGAAATGAGTTCGCGGCGGCGACTGTGACGACCATAAGTCTGAGGCACGGAGGGGAAGTGGATGGCGATGAAGACGACGACCAGCGATCTTGGCTTGGCTGTTGATCTTCTGTTTCACGCCGCCGTCCTAGCCAAGCTTTGATGACATGCGATGGTCGTGCCCTTCAATGCGAAGGAGGAGGCAGAGGGAGTTCGCCGCGTCGGCAACGGCGGCGATGACGACACCTCCTGCCCTTGACCAGGCGAGTTCGTCATCTCTTTCTCGCACTTCTTGCCAAGGCGCGCGATTACATCAGGGGGCACCTCTCCTCTGTGTTGGCGGATCGTGCGTTTCGTCATGGCTCTGACACTCTCAGGAAGGCATTCGAGGACGACGCTGGATGAAGCAGACGAGGAATATGCCGATGTTGTTGTGAAGTCATGCAGCAAACACAGGTGCAGCCAAAGCTAGCCAGCGTGGCGCACCGTATCTCGGCACGGCTGTCTTCCAGCCATCTCGGGCTATCCGGGGCCACCTTGGACACTCTGAGCCCCTCGCATCCGTACCCAACCCCGGCAGTTGGAGGACGGGTTTTGTTTGGAAGAGCCTATCCCTTAAACCACACATGCCAAGGTGGTTGGTGTGATCTACTGCTCGATTTCACGCACGTCACACTCTGGGGATAGACAGGCACATCGGGCGAAACACATCTCCTCCATCCGAGTCGTGCTTCTTCAGCCCGAAGATGTGCAAGCTAAACGCTATGTTCGCCTGTGCGTGCTCATCGAACAGATCATCGTTTTGCACGAGATGGGGGATGTTGCCGCCTACGTGGTTCCTGACACCAGTCTGCGAGCCCTCACTAGCCCTGAATGCTGCCAGCGTTGGTTCCTGACACTTGTCTAGTCGGTCTTGGCCCATCTTGGGTCGTGGGCGTAAGGCGCGGTGGGAAAGTGGCAGGGAGTATCGCGGCTCCCCAGAATACGGGCCTCTTGGTGGCCCTTTTTGAGCCTCCTGGGGGTCTCCTGGGCGCACCTCGGGCGTCTCTTGGGGGCCCCGCGCAGGCCCGTCGGGGCGCTCTTGAGGGCCTCTTGGGTGCCTCTGGCTGCTCTCGCCTCGGAGGGGCTGCTCCTGGCAGCCCGAGCGTGGCGCGCCTGGGCCCCTCCTTTGGGCCGTCTCGGAGGCCTCTCGGGCCCCTGTTGGGGGCCGTGGGGGCCGTCTTCGGGCCGTCTTGTGGACCTGTTCGGGCCGTCTTGGGCACTCAACCTAAGACGGAGACGGCGGCAGTTTTAAAGTCATATTCGTCATCAGGTTTTCCTCAGTACTCTTGTGTTTGGTATTCGTTAGGATTCACAGTGCACTGAGACTGCCGTTTCGTCCTCCCGCCTCCCTCCTCCCTTCCTGCCTCTCACCTCCTGCCTGCCTCTTACCTTCTCGCCTCTCCAGTGGCTGCTACCTGGGCAAGTGTCGCCGCTTGATGGTTCCCCAGGATTCCTAAGGAGTCCAATAGAATCATCCGAACCCCTCAGGTGTCTTCAGGGATCCCAAGGATCCCGGAGGAATTCTCAGGATCTTCGTTTAGGATTTCTGTTGGAACCCCAATGGACCCAGGTAGGAGTCTCAGTAGAAGTTCTGCAGGGCTCCCATAGGTCTCCTTACAAGAGTTTTGCGCGACTCCCGTAGGATTCTCGTGGGATTAGGGTTCGGAGGAATTCCCGTAGGGCTTCATACGGCTTATATACGAAGTCGACAGGAACCCCATATGACTCCCACGGGACCCACGTCTTTCTGACGGATCCCCAAAAGGATTCGCATGGGACGTCTATATGACTCCTGCAGAAGTTCTGTTGGACCCCCATAGGCCGTCATGGCCATGGCACTTGTATACGATTCACATAGCACTCGCGCAGGACTTCGACAGAGCCGCAGCGAACCAGAACTGGCAGGGAACGCGTACGTTTCTCTTGTCTATGATGTCACCGGACCTCTAAGCCGCAGCCACAACTCCTATCAACGATGTTTTTTTCTTAGTTGCACTGGGAGGGGCTCCAGAGCGATACGGTGCGCGCCCCCCCACCTATTGGCGGATTGGGCCCTCGGAAAGCTGTCGTACCTTCCCTGAGAGACGACGGGGAAGCGGCGCCCCCTCCGTGGGGCCCAGGGAGCCGGCGTTGCCCTGTCGTTGCGGCGCCCGCTCTGCTGTCCTCGAAAGGCACGCTGGAAAGAGAAGCAAGGTCGGAGTGCAGGCGGAGGGGGAGTCCGTGGACCCTCGGTGTCCCCTCACCCCTGGCCCCTGACCCACAGATTCCTTCTCCGTCTCCTCGCCCTCTCCTTCTTCCCTTGGCTCCTCGTCCACACGTGCGCCCCTGCCGGACGCTCCTCCCGCCCAGGCTGAGCCTCCTGCCCGAGAAGCGCTTCCTGTTCTTCCCCCAGCTGGCCAGGGCGGCCGGATCCCTGCCGCTCGGCGACAGGGTGGCACGGCTGAAGCCCGCCCTGCACCTCTTCGGGCACACGCACTTCTCATGGGACAGCACCCACAGCGACGGCGTGAGGTTCGTGCAGGCACCGCTGGGCTCCCCGCGCGAGCGACGGGCGCGGCCCCGTACGATGCGCCTCGCCGGCGGGGTGCCGGCGCTGCTGTGGCGCGGCCGGGGGGCCGCCCAGCCGATGCCGGCTGAGCACGCGGCCTGCTGGTCGGACTACTACGCGCGCCACGAGCGCCAGCCAGCCAGCCTGGACATCGGCCCCTGGATCCGTCTGCCGGGCAGGGGCCGCAGCCGGCTGCCGATCGACCCCGGCCGGACCAGCCCGGAGCCGCCGGGCGCGGGCTCCGCGGAGGCCTCGCTGTGGCTGGTCTGGGGCATCGCGGGCGAGCCGGAGGAGGCGCAGCTGGACATGCTGAGCGCAGACGAGCGCGAGCGCGCCGCGGCGTTTCACTGCGACGGGGCGCGCCGCCGCTTCGTGCAGATGCGCTCCGCGCTCCGGTGCGCTGCCGCGGAGGCTCTGGGGACGAGCCCCTACGAGCTGCGCTTCGCGTACGGCAGGCGCGGCAAGCCGCGGTTCCAGCAGCCCGCGTTGGCGCAGCGTTGCAGCTTCAACGTGTCCCACTCCGGCGACGTCGGCGTGGTCCTCCTGCTGTCGAGGCCCTGGGCTTCCCCCGGCCCCGCGCCGCCGGTCGGTGTGGACGTTGAGGGCCACGCCCACCGGCGTTTCGAGTCCCTGGCCGAGCGCTTCTTCTGCCCCGAGGAGCTCGACGCGCTTGTCCGGGCGAGGTCGCAGGAGGGCAGTGCTCAGATGCGGCTCTTCTTCGAGATGTGGACCAAAAAGGAGGCTTGGCTGAAGGCCAACGGGCTGGGGCTGTCTGGCGGGCTCAACAGCCTTAACTGCGCCGGCGGCGCCGGCGGAGCCAGCGCGGAGGAGGTGGAGGCCTTCCTTTCGCACACCGCCGGCATGGCCGACGACAGCCCACCCTCAGCGAGGTCCTGGCCTGGACAGCGATGCAGCCGAGACTCGCAGTGAGAATGCATTGCCTCCGCCAGGGGCTCTTGCTGTCCTGCCTGCCTCCCCCCTGCCACCACCACCACCATTCGTGCCTTGCCCTCCCCCCCCCTCACTGCGTCCGCGGCTTCGCGGTCCAACGTTGCTGCGAGTGTTGACTGCAGGCAAGTGGGTGCGCAGACCTCTCCAGGGTCGCACCTCCCCCCGCCCATTTGAGGAGAAGGACAACGATGATAAGGATGGGTTGAAAGAGGGATAAGGAATAGCAGTTGGATGATGATGATGGTGGTGGTGGTGGTGCTGCTGATAATGACCATGGTGGTGGGGGAGATGCTGCTGCTGCTGCTGCTGCTGCTGCTGATGATGATGATGATGATGATGATGATGATGATGATGATGATGATGATGATGATGATGATGATGATGATGATGATGATGATGATGATGATGATGATGATGATGATGAGTGCAGTGGTGATGGTGATGATGGTGGTGATGGTAGTGATGGTGGTGATGGTTGTGATGGTGGTGGTGATGGTGGTGATGGTGGTGGTGATGGTGGTGATGGTGATGGTAATGGCGTTGGTGATGGTGATTGTAATAGTGGTGATGATTGGGGGAATGGCGAGGAGGAGGAGGAGGAGGAGGAGGAGGAGGAGGAGGAGCTGGAGGAGGAGGAAGATGAGGAGGATGTGGGACCAGTGTACATCCAAGACTCATCAACAATGATGCGATAAACCCTTCCTCCAAGTTCCGTCTTCATAGGCTCCTATAAAGATCTATCTCTGTTGCGGGAAGAGCCCCGTTGGAAGATCAACGTCTGAAAGTCTTCAACCGTGTCAGAGCACCGTTCATGGGACGTCAACGCCGCGAATGGACGTTACTGGTGCGACCTGACGAGCCTAAATCGTACCATAATGCCCTTTCTGGGATGTCATCACCGCGAATCAGCGTGACAGTGGCGCCCTGACAATCGCAAACCTTGCCAAAACACCTTGTGAGGGACGTCAACCATGAGAATCCTTGAGGCAGCTTTACGCTGTTAAGACGAAACTGCGCGGCGCTAAAGGGAGAGCCACACTTTGAGAGCCGCCCTCCATCCGTGACGCTCTGGCGAACTTTTAAGACGAATCTGTGCGGCGCCAAGGCGAGAGCCACATTTTGAAAACGACCCGCCCTCCATCAGTGAAACTCGTGCAAACTTTGAAGACGAGTGCGCGCGACGAATTTCAGATTCAGGATCATACATGGTGAGGAAGTCTCAGGCGAAACGCCCGGCCTGCCCGACCGACCCGTTTCAGGGTGCGACATGGAGGAGTTCTTTACAAGGAAGAGGGATGGAGGAGCGGGAGCAGGAGGAGGGGGAGGGTCGGGGAGGCAGAGGAAGAGAGGAGGGGAGGCGGAGGAAGGGAGGAGAAGGGGGAGCAGAAGGAGGATGAGGGCAATTGGAGCGGCACGGGGGAAGGGGGCGGGGGAGGGAGGAGGCCTCCTCCTGGAGGCGCTCCGAACCCTGGCGAGGTCTCGTATCCCCACCGCTCATCGCTGCCCATGCCAGGCCTCATCCGGACCGAGCTGCGGGCAGTCTCGAGGATCTTTTGGGTTGGCGCAGATACCTCAGGCCGACCCAGGAAATCCGCGCGCACCTCTGAAAGCTCATGCGCGTGCCGACAATAGGGGGCGGAGGCATCGATCCCTGGGCCAGCCCAACTCCTGCTGGCGCCCCCGAGAGGATAGTCCTCCTCCTCCTCCTCCTCCTCCTCCTCCTCCTCCTCAGCCTCCTCCTCCGCCTCCTCCTCCTCCTCAGCCTCCTCCTCCCCCTCCCCCTCCTCATCCTCCGCCTTCTCCTCCTCCTCCTCCTCAGCCTCCTCCTCCCCCCCCTCCTCCTCCTCCTCCGCCTCCTCCTCCTCGTCCTTTTCCTCCTTATCCTTCGCTCTTCCTCATTCTTCGCTCCTCCTCCTCGTCCTCCTCCACGCCGATCGGGGCTCGGGTGCCCCAGGCCTTCCCCTGCCGGACCTCCCTGGCAGCTGCAGCCGCCCACGCCCGGCTCCCCGAAGCCCTGCCCGCAGCTCTGTCCCGTCACCAGCCGACGTCGGGGGCGCCCGCGGCGCTGGCACCACCTACGCGGTCGCTCGGGGGGCGGGGGTGTCGCCACGAATCACCGAGCGGGTTCCACTACTCGCCAAGTGTCTACTCGCAAACGTCCGGAACATACATGTCTGCATCGATGTAGTGTAGCGTAGATCCCCCAGGGCGGATACAGACCGTTTGCGAGTAGTCATCTTGCGAGTGGGGGAACGCGCTTGTCGAATGAAGGAGGCGGATCCCGAGGGAAACGGGCCCCTGAAGTTTTGGCGCGGTCTTCGGCCCCAGGAACTGGTCGTGGGCCCGAAGACCGTCAGAAGAAACTTGTGACGAACTTGTTTTCCTGGATTGAGGCCCTGGGCTCAGGTCGCGCTTCCCTCAGGACTCGCCTGCTTCAGGCTAAGGGTTGGAGAGGGGGGGGGGGTCGGCCAGGGCTAGGGCAGGTACAAATCGCACCAGGGCGCTCTGGAACGCTCTCAGAGCGTTCCCGCACGCTCTGAGAAGGCCGCGGCTCTCGACATATCCTCCAGAGCCGCTGACCTCAGAGATCCTCGATTTGCCCCTGTCCGATTTTGTCCCTGTTCTGGCTTTGTCTTCGTGGGGGCCGACTGTGCACCAGCAGCGATCCCCTGGCCAGGGCCCTTCCCGGTCGAGGACCGGCGCGTGTGCCTTGTTGGCCGACGCTTGGGGGGCGCACCCGGGGGTTCGCAGAGGGGGGTATGTCCCCGGCAAGAGTGTGTTCATGTCCACCGCCTCGGAGTCGTGCTCGTGTGAGGAGGAGGAGGAGGAGGAGGAGGAGGAGGAGGAGGAGGAGGAGGAGGAGGAGGAGGAGGAGGAGGAGGAGGGGAGGGGGAGGAGGAGGAGGAGGAGGAGGCGGAGGAGGCGGAGGCGGAGGCGAAGGCGGAGGCGGAGGCGGAGGCGGAGGCGGAGGCGGAGGGCGGAGGAGGAGGAGGAGGGAGGAGGAGGAGGAGGAGGAGGAGGAGGAGGAGGAGGAGGAGGAGGAGGAGGGAGGAGGAGGGAGGAGGAGGAGGAGGAGGAGGAGGAGGGAGAGAGGAGGAGGAGGAGGAGGAGGAGGAGGAGGAGGAGGAGGAGGAGGAGGAGGAGGAGGAGGAGGAGGAGGAGGAGGAGGAGGAGGAGGAGGAGGAGGAGGAGGAGGATTCCGACGCAGGGCGTCGCCCCGATGCTGGGTCAGCGGGCGAGCCCCGCTGCGGGCTCCCTCCTCCTCCTCTCGTCCTCCTCGTCCTCCTCCCTCCTCCTCCTCCTCCTCCTCCTCCTCCTCCTCCTCTTCCTCCTCCTCCTCCTCCTCCTCGTCCTCTCAGGGCCGTCCATCGCGATCCTCCTCTGACCGCCAGCCTCTTCGGCCCCCCCCGTCTCCAGACGCCCGGGCGTCTGCACCTGTCCGTGGCTCAGGAGCAGCCTGGCCAGGATCGGTGTGCACTGCACAGCCGGCATCCTCCCACGTGAGCGCGCAAGCTGCTCGCGCAAGGCCGCGGGCAATGGAGCGCCCTCGTCTCCAATGTGGCGTGCCGCGCTCGCGGCCTGCGTGAGCAGTCGCGTAAGGTCACTTCGTCATCTTGCGTAAGGTCCTTTTTTTGATCGGCAGACTGCGACGGTTCGAAAGACCACGTCTGCTCCGACGACGATGACGACAATCGCTCAGGTGCGCTCTCTGCGGGGCCTGCCGCTGGATGCCTACAGCGTCGCGGTCGCGCTGCCGCGCGGTTTGCCCTTGCGGGTGGAGAGCCTCTCCGCGGTGGGCTGGGCGCACTTCCTGCGGAGGTGGCCGCGGCGCGGTGATGCCGCAAAAGACTGGCGCGCGCAGCATCTTTGCTCAGAGGAGGAACAGGTACCCATACTGCTACCCTCCGCCCGTTTTCCCCTTTTCGAGCCTCCTCGGAGGCTCTCGTCGCCACCGTTGGGTTCGCCTCGAAATTCTGGTCAGAGCGCACCCTGGGAGAGGTCCGTGGCATAGCGGTGTCGGTACCTTTGGTCTCCCCAGAGGCTTGAGTTTTTTTGGTTCTTGCCATCCTGTGGTGTTGGGTCTTCGTTCTGAATCTGCAGCGCCCCCCCGTCACTTTCTGCTTCCCTCTTCCCCTCCCTTCTCCTCCTACTCCTCCTCCTTTTACGTTGGACAAGCGTTGGCTTGCTAGAGACGTCGCGTCTTGGTGGCAGCGATGCGAGGAAAAACTCTTCGGTGCGCGGCGCTCGAGAAAGTGAAAGTCAGGCCCTGGTACTGCAGCAGCGCGCGTCGTTGAGAACCAAGATATGCAAGACAGTTCGGAGCAGCAGCAAAACACTGTATGTAAGGCTGGCAGTTTGCACAGGAAGGCCTGTTTTGCTCCAATGTTTGGCGCTACTGTCTTACTCCATCGCATCGATGCGCAAATTGGTACACTACTGTTTCTGTGCAGGCATGCTGGCGTGGCAGGGTCAAACATCAGGTGATGTCTTCCCCCCCCCTCTCCCATGAACTGATGCGCCACCACCTCCCCTCTCCAGAGAGCCAATGGTAAGACGCCCTGGCTGTTGAAAAAACCGTTCAGCGTCGCTTGAAATCATAATCTGGAGTTGGCAGGCCTACAAGTGTTGAGACGTGGTCTCGAAAGCATAAGTTGAACTCAAAATTCGTGAGGGCACGAGTGGCACAGTAGTTTCACAGACGACACGATAGAGGCAAACGTATTGTGCCTCCACAGCCTCGAACTGCCCAGCCGGCCTGAGACAACCTGGCATGACGTGACACTGTCGCGTTACCGTGTCCTCCTCCTCCTTGCCCTCCTCCTCCTCCTCCTCCTCCTCCTCCTCCTCTGACAACTCGTCCTCCGCCAAGGGCCCGGCAAGAGAACCCCGACTGGAAAGGAATGCGGCCGCGTCGACGCATTTCCAAACAAGAAAGTGCACCACGCAGGCGGGAAACAGCGCTGCTTTGGTCTGCAGTTCGCGGTCAGAGCTCGAACATCTCATGTTCCTCGAACGTCACGCCCCACGCCCCACCTCCAACTCTCACGACGCAGAGACAGCGCTCGGAAACTGGTGCACAGTTGGGCCTTCTGTGCAGATGGAGATGAGGAAGAAGATGCAACATACATTAGGGTAGTAAAAGGTGATGGTTCAACAGACTATCGACCTGTCTCTTCGTACCATCTTTGAAGCGCTGCATGTAAAATGTTTGCATCGACGTATACACTGCCCGCATGGATTCAGTTTCCGACAGTGGGGCACTCGCAAAACTGATCTTTTGCGTGCTCATTTTCGCTTCACAGTAAGTTCAAATTCAGTTGTATAAGCTCATGCCTTTCTTGGATAATGCCAATGGCTTGGTGGTGCCAAGTATGCAACATGTCAGGAACGTCGTCGACTTCATCACACATCTTACCGTACGCGTCGAGCAAATCGTGGTAAGCGGGCTGTGGGAACGACAGTGATTGCACTACCAACGCTAATCTGGGGCACCTCTAGACATTTGTTACTTTCAGTGTTGTCCCCTGGCTTTTGGGCGTGTGGGCTTTGAACTTCAGCCTGGCTGCGGGTTTTTGAGGGTGCCGTGGACAGCGCCTCGGGGCCTCCACCTTCCTTTGTCGCTGCTGCAAGTGGTGAACAGATTTCAATCGTATCTGCACAGTCAACTTTACAAGAAACGTCTGCTGTGTGGGTTTCCGAGGATGTCAAAAACAGCGCCTCGTGGCCTCCACCTGCTCTTGAAACCTCCTCCTCTTTTCTATTGTAACTGGCGTGCGACTCGTGTCCGTCGGCTCTGTAATCAACTGTGTCAGAGGATGTGAACAGCAGATCTTGAAAACAACGCGTCCTGGACTGATTGCCTAACGCGTTGCAGATGCACTGATTCTTGGCGAAGTGGTCAAATTGTGTAAGGAGCCCACTTGATTCGCATCTGCCTAAAGTCTTGATGTATGCTGAGGCGGCGGCGGACAGTGGCTGAGTACGGGGGCCGGAAACATCTGAACGCTTGGTATAATTGACGGGATAACCAAACTACTTGAGTCTGTGCATCTTGTGGATGGTGGTACCCAGCATTGCTGTGTCTCTTGCTGCCAATATGTTTGTCCACCGCTGCGCAAGTAATCCTGCATAGCTTGTGTGGCACGCTGCGAGCGTAAGACGTGAGTGAACTCTACGGTCTCGAATTCTGCGCCTTTTGGATCGAGTATCTTTGAACCCATTCCCATGATGTATGCCGTCGCCAGGTCGACAAAACATATCGTTGATGAGAGCATGTCGACGCGTGGTCCGAATACGATGATGGGATGGCGCGGCTGCCCGCGGAGGGAGGACGGGCTGCGCGCGTAGCAGCCGCCCGAAAGTCGCTAGAATGCGGCCTTGTGCGGCGGAAGGCGGCTCGAGCAGGCGGCCTCCTCCCCCTCCGCCTCCATTCTTTTCCTGATAGATACTTCCATTCTTCCTCCTCCTCCGCCTCCTCCGCCTCCTCCTCCTCCGCCTCCTCCGCCTCCATTCTTCCTCCTCCTCCACCTCCATTCTCCCTGCCGCACCCCGAGGCGAGTTTTTGGGGCGGGCCGGGCGTTTCCGCCGAGACTTCTTCACCACTCATGGCCCTGAAGCGTAAGTATTGGCAACAGTAGTTTCACAGATGGAGTGCGGGTGGTTTTCAAAATGTGGCTCTCGTCTTCGCGCTGCGCACATTCGTTTTAAGCAGTTGCAAGAGTTTCACGGATTGAGAATCACCCGTTTCAAAATGTGGCTCTTGCGTTAACGCCGCGCACATTGGTTCTAAAAAAATGCAAGAGTTTCACGGATTGAGGATAACCCGTTTTCAATATGTGACTCTCGCCTTAGCGCCGCGCACATTCGTTCTAAAATATTGCAAGGGTTTCACGGATTGAGGGTGGTTCCTTTTCAATATGTGACTCTCGCCTTAGCGCCGCGCACATTCGTTCTAAAATATTGCAAGGGTTTCACGGATTGAGGGCGGTTCCTTTTCAATATGTGACTCTCGCCTTAGCGCCGCGCACATTCGGTCATATAATACAAGAGCTTTACGGATTCCCACGATCAACGTGCCAGAAATTGTGTTTTGTGGAAGGATTCAAGACTTTGCGGGTGCAGCAGTTACGTTGATTCGCTTTACTGACATCCCAAGAACGGCTTTCTGGCGCGATCCAGGATCGTCAAGACGCAACAGTCAGGTTGATCCGTAGCGTTGGAATCCCGAGAGCAATGTTTTGGCATGCTTCTGGGTCTTCATGCGGTTGTCTTCCAACGAGGCAGATCCCTCAATGGAAGTGAACCGTTGTAGGGGCCTATGAGGAGGGAGCTTGGAGGGAGGGTGTATTCCAACATCGTTGATGGCTTTTGGATTTACACTGGTCCTCCTCCTCCTCCTCCTCCTCCTCCTACTTATCCTTCCTCCTCCCACGTCCTCCTCCCCTCCTTGCTTCTCGCACGCCTCGCGCGTTTCGTGGCCCCATAGGGATCTCCACCGAAGCCCCCCGTGGCAGCGGTCGCATGGGGCACCCCCTACTTTCGCACACCCTTCGCACGTCTCGTGGCCGTATAGGGAGCGCCACCGAGGACACCAGTGGCAGCGCCCTCCACCGAAGGGCCCCACTGGCAACATCGTCAAGTAGCATCCATTGCGGCGCGGTTGCCTGCAAGAAGAGGGTCACACCCTACGCCGCTCGTAGACTGCTCGCCCCCGCCTTTCGGAAGACCTTCCCTGCGGCACTCGTAGCTGCATGCGGTTGGGTCCAGGCCGAGTTTTGGGGCTTCGTTGGGCCTATGGAGGAGCCCCGGCGCTTCTCGAGGCCTCGTCGGCGGTTCTTGGCCTGCGTCGGGCCCCGCTGGGCCTGCGGAGGCCTCCCGGGAGGCATCCGGGGACCCTCGGGCGCGCAGTGCCTCGAGGACGCCGAGCGCGGCTTCGGGAGACCGCTGGGCTGGCGGTGTTCCCCGGGCGCCCCGCTCGCAGTGTTGTGAAAGATGCGCGCGATGCGCGCCCCCGCCAGTGGCGAAGAGTTTGGCTGTGAAAGGGCGACGCTGGCCACTGGTCCACGCGGCGTGGAGCACTGGCACGGTGGCGGGCAAGACGACAGAGGCGGCCGTAAAAGGTGGTGGCTGGCCCGAGCAGGATCTCGTAAAGGACCCGCTGGCACCTCCCGAACGGCTGGCGATTTTTTTGCAGGTCAGATTTTTAGGACACGACCCGCTTGTGTTTCGCAATGGGCCCGATGTCCCTTGAGCCCTTGCGTCTTCCTTCTCTGGCTCCCCATCGTGCGTCCAGGCGCATTGCGGCCTAGAAGGGGTCTCGTTCTTTACCCAACGCTCCTGGTTGTAGCACTTTGGCAGTGTTGTTGGACATTGCTTGGCGCTTGTGCATGCCGCTGCGCAAGCGCACTGCATTTTGGATCGGCGCCCTCGCTTCGGTCGTTCTGCATCGGAGCGGCTCTGGCGTGTCGCGTCGTTGTGCCCTGACCGCTAGGCCAGTCGTATTGTGTGCAATTTGGGTCAAGATAAATTTTACGTTCAATGCCCGCCGTGCCGGTTGCCTGGCACGCCTCCGCCTTTCAGCTGGCTCAGCTGCACGGGATCCGAGCGAAAGCGGTTGCGATTGCAGCGACAGCGACCCACCACCTGCCCCAGCCGCTGCCCCCTTCGTGGGCCATCTTGTGCAAGCCAATTGCTGCGAGTGCCGAAGCAGAGAGGGCGCAGCGTTAGCCCAGCTGACATTGTGATCGTTTTTTATTCATTGTTTTGCCGATAGGCGCGTGCCCCCCTCCCCCCCCTCTCCCCCTCCATGGAGTAAATCTTGGCTGCCCCCCCCAAGC